TCTTTCTGCAAAAGACGTCCCATCAGCCCTCTCTAATGGGCAAGGTGTAGGAAGAGAGAAAAAGACAGAGATGAAGCAGAAAGAAGACAGAGAGAGAGAGAGCGAGGTGGCAGTGGTGCTTTTGTGGCTGAGGAGCAGTGAGTAATGAGGCTGAGGCGCACCCTGTCATTGTCCCAGCAGCAGCCTGCAGCCACAGACACACATACAGACACACAAATACACACAGATGAAAAAAAAAGGATCTAAAAACAAGACTTTGTCTGACATTCAGCATCTACACTGTGAAGTACCTGATGAAACTAAACAAAGTAGTTTAATTTCAAAATGTATTTAAGACCATTTGGTCTTGTTTTGTTAGATGGATTCATAAGAGGTGCTTGTTTAAAACACTCCGTATGGTCTCTCACGAATTCTATTCATCGTTTTCTCCGTCTCTGCTGCTGGGTGACTCTGGATTATTAAGATGTTGCATCACTTCTCCGAAGCATGGGTATAAGGTGAAGGTAAAAAGTCCAAGTTCATGGATGCAGAAAACAACACCACGGGTGCAGAGCTGAATTTAGCTCTGCAAATGTGTATGCAGATGCGCAATGTTTATGTCTACCTTGAGAAACCTGTTTGGCAGTAGTACTGCAATGGCTCACATAACCAAGCAAGGCCCTTTTCATTGCAAGGTGATGTTGAAAGAAGCCATTAACACCAAATATCTTCCTGCAGAAAGCTAACATGCTAGCTCTGATCTACTTAACACTGTCAACAGCAGATGCATTTACTTTGATATGTGTAAAGTTCATCTAGGGGATGAGGTGGAGGCACATACCGTTCATTCTTTGCTCATTTGCCAGAATGAAAAGAGACTGGGCATTAAAAAGAAAACATGCATTCACACACACTCGGATTGCTTCCCTGGAGGTAGTGGAAAAGGCCAAAGATAGAGGTGACCCACGGGGATGTAGTACTAAAGGGGGAGTGGATGCAGGGGGGTAGTAATGATGCCAAGCTGAACAAATTGCAAAGCAAAGGGAGTGCGTTTTAAATGTAGTACATGAAATTATCGTGGATGCAACACAGAGGGAAGATCAGAGAGGTTGGGATCCACTGGGAGCGATCTGCAACTCTCGGGACAAACATAAAGCTCGGCTACGGTGATGAGTTCAGCTGTAATACAAAGTAAAATAGGACAAACATGTCTTCCAATACTCTGCTGAAAATTCAGTGTGCAGAATTTGAATGCCTAGAAGTTTTCCCTCTGTTTTTCCCCCAAACACAAATAAATATAATAATAATATAAAGAATAATAAATGGAAAAGTGAAGGGAAAACATATGTGATCTGTTTCAGCGACAATTAAAACGTGAAGCTGTTGTTTTGCAACTTAATGACAAGATCTCAACAGAACTCACTCACTGAATTAAACTCCATTAATTACACGACCTACATATACTAACAGGTCGGTCTTCTACGCAGATAGATACAGAAAGAGATCACATATCTGCTAATAATAAACAAAAGCACCAGAGCCTTAAGAGATCTTACAAAATAAAATTTAAAAAAATCCCGCTCTCCAGACGCTTTTCTGAGGGCATGCACTTTAGTCTGTTGACTCCAAATACTGTTGTTTTATTAGGTCGAGCAAACAAGGAGAAAAAAAAAAACTACTTTCCATTAGAGGCAGAAAACTTTTGATTATCCTAGAGGCAAGGATGAGCTGTAAATACTATTCTCCTGCCAATTAGTCATATGAATAGGTTTACACCAGGTTCAGAAGAACTTCACTATAACAAGACTCTGAGGGTTAGCCGCAATAAGCCGCACTGTATTTTGTACTGAATTTGCCACATGTAGCTAAAATCAGAGAGACGATTGCAGTCACACATTAAGGCATCTTGTGAAGGCACGGCTCAAAAAAAAAGGAAGTAAGAGTCTTGTTAAGAGCGTGGCAGTATTAACCTGTGAGCTAGTGCATCATCTACGCCCAGGCTGATAGGCTGATCTCTAAATCAGTGTCCAGAGAGTGCGCGAGTCTGAAGGCTGAAGCTCTGTCCATCCTGCCTGCCCGTCGCTACCGCCAGTCCCAGCCATGAATATGGAGCTGTTCTGTGGCTGGGAGCTTGCTTATGTTTTCTGTCTGATATCTAGGCCCCATTCCCATTTCAAAGGGAGGTCCACCCGGGGCCTTGACTTTTTGATCTGCCTGGCGACTGAGTCGACCACCTGCATGTGGGATCAGCTGCCAGCGAGAGCAGACAACCCCTCTGCTTCAAAATATACACACACGCACCCCCTTCGCCCTCCCTTCACTGCTTCATTGCCCTTCGCTGTGCCCCCTCCTTCCGTGAAGCTGCCAGGAGCCCCCAGTGGTCCTAACTGGGTCTGGAGCTGCATCCCATTCCCCCCCTGCCATTTCTTCTGACCAGGGCGAGTGAGATGTTTGAGATGCTCAGTATAGCAACAGGACGCATCTTCATGCAGTGATGGGAACATTTTGTATTAATGAAAGGCCACAGTGTCAATGCAGCATGGAAACAACAAAGGCTTTATCAAAAGGTCTGTGGCCTTTGTAATCAGGGACAGAGAGGCGCACTGTGAGCTGTGAACCTCTCAAACCTGTAGGTGCCGAGCCCACATGTATACAACTCATTTAAAGCTTAGAGTAACTAAGCATGAGTAGATGACACAAGACTGCGTTTTCACTTGTGACACTTGTTATAAGCCCGTGACACAACCAATTAACAGCACCTATGTTCCTGCCACCGAGGGTAATTAGTTAGAGTTTCACAGTCAGAAAATGTAACAATTTATTTTCAAACAAAGCCACAGCTATTTGAGATGTGTGTCTTTCTGAATGTTTCCTACAATAAGTGATATTCACACAGTCTTTAAGTTAATTGGCTTTCTTGAACCATGACAGCTAGCTTAATGAGTGTCTAATTGTTTCTCAGCTGGGGTGATAGCACACCAGACCAGAAAGACACTTCAAGAAGAGGTGCGACTCTAAAAAGGACACCCTTCATCTCGTAGATCACAATAAATCCCTCCGTTGTTGCACCTACACACTCGGCTCTATCAGGGCCAAAGTTTTTTCGATGCTTATAATCAACTTAAAACTGCTGCTGTGTTTATATATCTGGGAAAAAAATGTATTCGTGCATCCAATTAATCAAACATCTGCATTCAAACAGAAGAAAACAAAAAATATATATACTTAACTAAACAAACAAAAGCTGGAATATTCATCAACCTGCATGAGTATTTGTGTCCACCTCTGGTTTGTGTCACAAGTGATCCGGGTTCCTAACATGTACCAGAAACGGTTTCACTACACTCATCTGTGTAAGCCTTTACACGCCACACTACTTCTTCTGCTGCCTCAAACAAATGGAGTATGACAAAGCAACCGGCATCGAAAACAAATACACTATTAATCAAAAAGCAAGAAAGGGGGTGGGTGAGGGTGGAGGTAATGAAATGAGTGAGGAAATTAGGAACAATTTCCAGAAAGGAGGGCATTTAACTAACCTTAACTGAATTTTTGGTCTGATTATAAATATATTATAAGCTTTTAAACTGAAATGAAAAAAAAAAAACCCAAAACAAATTATTTTATCAAATAGTGACAAAAAATAAAATAAAACTGTGTACGTTGTGGTGCTCCCGTCAAGCATAAAGGCAGGCAGTAGTCGAATAGGTTTGCAGCCGGGCCCCACTTTGGAAAGCCCTCATAAATCCTGATTTGAGACGGGCACTAACCAGAGGAGCTAAGGCATCAAGAGAGGAGGGAGGGGGGGCTGAAGAGTAAGTGGGTGGCAGCATGCCTCTTAAAATGCTACGTCTGATTAAGTCTTCCCATTAGGTGACAGCTGAACTTTAACATTAATATGATAATATTGAAATAAGTGCATGTTATTTACTTCAGCACCAGCAGGGGTGGAGGGAAGAAGAGGAGGAGGAGGGAATGATGAATGATTTCTGGACAGCTCTGGGTGACATGCCAGGCGAAGTGACCCCCCCCCACCCGGCCCTCCTCTTGCCATAATCAGGCTTGACAAAATGGAGACATATGCAGAAATATTGGTTACAGTCGGCGTCACAGCCCTTCTCAGGCCTTTCCTCTCCAGTATCTGCCGCCCGCCCTGCGAGCCACCCTCCAAATTGTCTATGGGCACTGAAGCATCTATTTCAATTGGCACTTCCTTCCTGCCCCCAGGATTTTACATTTAGTCTGTGTCATTTACATATTACTCTTAATCAAAATCCACAGCGGGTGACAAGGAGGGGGGAAAAAAAACAACAACAAGAGAGAGCAAGAAACAAAACCGTGGCGTCACGGTTCAGGGGTAAGCACGCAGACACTTTATGAAATGGAGATGTGACAAGACATTACGGTGTGTGTGTGTGTGTGTGTGTGTGTGTGTGTGTGTGTGTGTGTGTGTGTGTGTGTGTTAGGAAGCGGAGGCACCAGATAATGCAAGGCCTATTGAAATATTTGCGTTTGAATGCCTGTGCCTGTGTGACTGCCTTGTGAGTGAACTAGCACGCCAGGGAGACAAAGAGTGCAAGATGGATATGGGTGGTAAGTGCATTTTGTGGAAAAAAAAATGAAAAGAGAAAATAAACAAAGGCAAAGAGAAGAAAAGAATGGAGACATGTACAGTGTGCACTTGTCTCTTCCAGCAGGATGCTGTACTGGGCTACTTGTTTCTCAGGCACACAGCACCACATTTAACTAAACAGCCACTCACACAAATTGTTTACTTAGTTTTCTCAGCTATATAGTTCTGACTAATAAGAATTTGACTAAAAGATCACAGATCCTTTACAAATGAGTTTAACCTGCTTGAAACATGAACAAAAGCACTTGCTAATAGCCACAGGTGACTGACTGCAGCAAGTTATAAACTATAATATTCACTTTTAAATCTTATGAAAGTCTTTATTTACAACCTCACAGCACTGTTAAAGCACTTTGCATACAAAGAGGTGCAGAAACAGTGTTCCTACCTGCCTCTTACCTTCTCAGCATGCCGGTAAGGATGCGGGAACTCTTGCCCAGGTTGGCGTCTGTTTCTCTCAGCTGGAGTTGTAGGGGAGACAGAACCAGTGAAGGACAGCTTTTAGTTTTAATTCTGAACAAACACTTGAGCAATTTCAGTTTAACACACTCTGTCAACAAACTAAAGCTGTTTTTAAAAAAAAATCCCTCTGGTGAAGCACACACCAGGAAATAGTCCTTCTGATGTGTTTGCACAACTGGAAATATGTAAATGGGTTTAGGCAATGGTGGGTGGTGGCAGCGCACATAATGACCACTCGCTACTGTTAAATGCGCTGCAGTATTAGCTGCACATGTTGTGAAATCTGACATCGAGGTGGACTTTGTCCTAGGAATTTGTTGCAAGTTTGCAAGTTAAAGGCTTCTGTATCATAAGAACTGACGTTGCTTTCACACACGACGCTGTCGGCTGGAGCTTAACATATAATATGTGGATACTATTTCATCCACACTTGAAAACAAAAAAGAAACATGTAACGAGTATAAATAAGTACCACGGCAATAATGTCATTTGATTATTACAGTATTGTTGTGCAAGGTACTATTGCACTGTACTACTGGCCTTAGGGCAGAAAGACATCTCTACAGTTTGACACACTTTTCACTAAAGTTTCTTGCGACCCAGAGAGATGAATGGGAGATCCTTTGATTAGAGCTTGCCTTCTTACCTTAAAGGTACTGGCTTACCTGTCAAGAGACCACCCTCGGCAAAACCCCCCACTTTTAGACAAAACCAGTGGGGGGAAAAAAATACACGACAATTTTAGAGCTGCTTTAAAAGCAACTTATTTACCAAAGCATGAACAGCTAGGCTACACATAAGATCAATGTTTACTTCATTTGATGCATCTCTATGTCTATAAACTAGCAGCATTGTGAGCTGTTCAATGACAGAAAACTTTTGAAAAAACCTCCATAACCTTAGTAGGACATGCCACTTGATGGTCTTATATTCATCTTACTACAGAGCTAGATGAATATAAGGAAATGGAGTGAAAGATGCCTTTACTTTTAAAGTAGGTACCAAGCAGTGGGAGTCCTTGAAGGCACCCTTGAAATGATGATCATGGCTATTGAGGACTAATTGCCTGGATATTTCCCTTTTCTTGCTCCATTTCTTTCCCTTTTTCTTCCTCTCTGCCTTTTTTCCCTTCAGGGGTCATAGGAATGTTTTCAAGCTACTCTCTTGTCAGGCGTAGGGACTTTTCACAGGGAGGAGGATTTGGCAAAGATGTTGCCAGCAAAGTGTGAGTGTGAAAGTGGAAAAAAAATGCTGACATTGCACTGAGTGAGCTGCCACTAACATCTACCTGTAGTCGCATTTCTCGAGGATGACAGGGGAGCACGGGGAATAGTGATTGCAGAGTTTTTCTCTAAACAGTCAGCAGGGAGTGATTTATCTTCGTCTTTCTCTGAAATAATACTGCTTTCCCAATAAAGTCACCCCTTCTCTGTATGTTTTCATCAGTGAATCACACTATATTCTATTTGTTTTTAATTCTTCAGTTTCACATCTTTTCTACCAAAACTCCCCTTTCCTCTACAACGATCGGAGCCACGCTCTCTTTTTTCATGTTTGTTCTGGCTCATCCTGCAGTCATCGCTCTTCCCTGCAATTCATCCTCCCTTCCCAGCCCTGCTTTACTGCTCCTTTCTTCCTCTTCTTCCATCTTTCCTTCTTACCCTCTGGCAGCCTGGGCTGGTGTGATGCAGGCTGCCAGAGCCAAAGATACATGTGGTACAGGGTGGGAGGTGGGGGACCTGGGGTTTGGGCCCTCTGGCAAAGACAACAAGTCCAGCAGTTGCCTGATGTCTGCTTCTACCCACAGATCTGTCCCCTAGACACTTCGCACTTTCTCCCAAAATACATCTCTCTCTCTGAATCATTCCTTCTTTCCTTTTCCACCTCTCTCCCTCTCCCTCCACAGCCTCTCACCAAATCGTACGCCTTCCTCCATAACCTGAAATGGAAACCCACTGAAGTTTTAGGGTAGTCGAGTGTCTAAAATTAATCGTGGCTGCCTATAAAGAGAGAGTGAGAAGACCTTGTTCCTTGAAACTCATATTTTTTTCCAGCACTAAAGTAGAACAATTTCTAAAGACATCTTTAGCCAGCTTCGAGGATTAAAATGCATACACGTGTTGTTACTATTAACACAAATGAAAGCTAATTTGCACCCAAAATTCTAAACAAACTCTGATCCATATCATTTAAAGTGCAAATAGAGGGGCATTAAGGGAAATAAAAGGTAAGGTTTCAGCTTCAAGGATGAAAAGTACAAACTGAACATTTAATTCCTTTTAGAGCATTAAAGTTTGTTAGCTCACTGAGTACGACCATTCATTTGTCTGCATAATTAATCCTCCTCAGGTTAAATAAACTGTGCTTACAAATGACTGAGGCGATACTGTCAAAGTGCATGAGTTTATTTTATTTATTTTCAGTTAATTAATAAATAACTGTTGAAACTGAAGTTACAGCTTGCTGTGATAACTCTGCACAGTCGTAATCAAAGTGTTAAAAGAAGCAGGTTTTACTTTTAAGGCTGTCTAATACTTTTACTTTATTTCCTCAAATTCTTACACTCATTCCCGCTCTTGTATTATATGCATTTAAAAGACATGAATTACCACATTTAGGCAACAACCATTAAAAAAAATGCCCCCCTGCTACGTTTCACACCCTGAGGTAGCCTTGAGATCGGTTAAAAGAAATTCTTCAACCCGTTCAGGTGGTTCTGAGTCGGCAGCGTACTGCTCTGACCCTGTGTTGAAGTGTTCTATTGACTCCTATTTGTACCATAAAAGCAAAACAAAAGGCCACACCTCCTGCCGAGCGCTGGGGCTTGTGTAAATTTTGTGTTTGTATGTTTGTGGGTTTATTCATTGCCGAAACAATTTTAAATTCCATCTCTTTAATGCAAAAAGAGCTGCTAACCGACCCTTCTATCCTCGTGTCTTTACATCTCGGTTTCTTTTTACTTAACTTTTGCCCCACAAACTGCCTTTAAAGGCTCAGTGTGTGTGTGTGCGTGTGCGTGTGTGCATTTGTGTACATATGGTGAGGTGGTTCAGCAGAGGAGACTCATGGGAAGAAGGGAGAGAGAGAGAGAGCAAAAGAAAGAGAGAGCAGGTACTCTCAGTAGACGCTGTGGACCGTTTTGAAAGGAGATGTTTGATTTCCTTTGAAATCTGCTGTGCGAGGCCCAATGCCATGTTGTGATCTTTAAGCATTCTGCGTTGAGGGGGCCAACAGGGCTGGGCCCCCTTCCTGTGTTTGGTCTTTTCTGTCTCTGCCTACCTGTCTGTTTGGCTGACTGTACGTAAGGAGGGGAAGCACTAAGGATTGGGAGGGCTCTCTGAGGAAAAGTTGGAAGGATGGAGCGAAACGGCAGAGGGGTGCAGGAAAAGTGCAGGAGGGTGGGCGAGGAAGGACGGCAGGTGGCAAAGTTAACCCCTTTTAAGTGAAAGGAAGCAAAGGGGGGAAGAAAGCCATATTTCAACATTTTATCCAATCCAATTTTAGTTATAAAACACTTTTGAAAAACACAAGTTTGACAAAGTGCTGTACAATTCATCTTGAGGGGAACATATGGAGCTAGCAGCTCAGATATGTATTGCGGTGCTGATCAATTAAGGCTTTTAAAAGCACATAACGAAATCTTAAAATACATCTTAAAAGGAGCAAGAATGTGCAAGGGGAAATGTGCTCACGTTTATGGGTTCTGGTTAAAAGATGAGCTGCAGCATTTTAGGTGCTTTGTTAAGGGCAACGCTGAGCACATTACAGTCGTCCAGACGCTTTGTGGTAAAAGCATGAATGAGACGTTCAATAATTTTAAAAGATAAACTGGACTTCATCCTGTATAAAAGCCTCAAATGATTAAAAACGAGTTTTAATAACAGCATTTATCTGCTTATCTAGTCTGGTTTATTTATTTTTAGCTAGTTTTATATATTTATACAGAACCAAATCACAACAACAGTTGCCTCAAGGCGCTTTATATTGTAAGATAGATCCTACAATAATACATACAAAGAAAACCCAACAATCATATGACCCTATGAGCAAACACTTCTGGCAACAGTGGGAAGAAAAAAACTTCCTTTTAACAGGAAGAAACCTCCAGCAGAACCAGGCTCAGGGATGGCGGCCATCTGCCACGACCGGTTGGGGTGGGAGAAGGAATACCGGACAAAAGTTAAAACACCAATGTTAGTCACTGCTCATTTAACATGTGGCTGCAGGGGCCCAGGTCCAAGAGAAGAGCAGCACACACACTACTGAGTCTGAACGCAATTACCTCAATCTTACTTTCACTGAAATTTAAAACATTTGCATGCTTTGATATCTTTCAGACAGTTGTGTTTAAAGGAGCTGACGTCACCAATAAAGCAAAAAACAAAAAAATGTGAGCTGACAGCAACACCTACTCAAATGCCAAACACAGCCATCCATAAACGGGCACACTGAGCTCCTTCTCGTTATATAAATCTGCTGACTTAGTGCGTGCCGAGGAGGGTGTATCTCACAGTTGTGTGAGGCAGCTTTCATTTGTGCGTTTACGTGAGAAGCCGTACAAAAGTGGCAAATGTTGGCCGTAACGGCTTACCGTTTCACGAACACTTGTTAGAACAGATGCGCGAGTGTGCGCAGGTGTCAGGTGTGCACTCACCCTTTCTCTAGCTCTCTGGATCTTCTCACGGTCACTGTGCAGGTTGGCAAGAATCTCCTGCCCCACTTGTTCTGCAAGAAAAGAGCATCCAGCATAAGATGGCAGGTCCAAAAAATTCCACCATGTGATGAAATGAATAAAATGAAATAAAACAAATGAACGATTAGGTGATTGCGAAAGCCTGGCTTGCACTCACTTTAGCTGTAATCTCTTATTTGTCAATCATTCTCACCATCATGATTAATGTAGAAATAATTTGTTTTGTTTTTTCCACATCTGGACCTACTTGGGTATGTGTAGTATTTGTGCAGTGTGTACACAGACATTGCTGTCTAGGAGTGTCAGACAGACAGACAGAAGAATACTGCATCTGAGGGAAGTGTTGAACTTTCTTAAGATGCTGGAGTAAATAGACATGAAGTTCTAGACAACAACATCCCAGCATCCAGCCTGCCAGTGGGGTCCACTCTGCCGATGCAATATTCATTACTCCTTTCTTTTTTTTCTTCCCTTTTTTTAAACGGCTCTCGTCAGTTGTAGTTGTAAACACATTAACGCACAGTTATAAAACATCCCCGACAAGGCACCTGACAAGCTTGTCAGTGGTCACTGTCATTTTCCTGTCCCTTGGGAATGAGAAAAGAAAGGCGGGGGGAAAGAAAAAAAAAAGATAAACCAAATAAGATGCCCCCCCACCACCACCAGAAAAACCCACCGGTGCCATCAATGTAACCATACTGCTAGAGCATTAGTGTTTAAAAATAAGAGAGGCAGAGGATGAATCAGGAGAAAAAGGGGAGAAAAAAAAGAGTGAAGAATCTTTGCATGGATCAAAGACAGGCTTTCAAGCGCACCAAACAAATCCGGAATAAACAACACAGTTGCTGACTGTATTACACTACACAGGTGCCGCACACCAAAGGGCCCACGTGCTGAGCGCCTGTTTGGGGGGAGCAGTGCAAAAATGGGCTACATCTGGCAGCTAAACAAGAGGGGAGAGAAAGAGAGAGAGAGCGGCATAGAACGGGGATCAGGGAGACGCTGGGAAAAAAAGAGAAAGCATTGTCAAATGAACGACATTCGTCTCCCATTCATCCCATCCCTTTTACCCCCTTCGCACTGTAACTGACTCAAATGTGTCTCTTCCTGCCTTCATTAATTTCTAATCTGGGACGAGACAGATTGAAGGATACCCAGATTAAACAGTGCAGTCAGACAGTCACATGTGACAAATAGGGCAGATTAAAAGACTGAGCGCAGGTATTAATAACCATAAAAATACAAGCCCTCCCCCGTCCCGAACGGAGAAGAACAAGGGATAAACAGGGAAGGAGTTGAAGCGGAAATCTTCTGTTAAAGAGACAAATAAGCACATCTATCCATCTCTGTCAGGGCTGTGGCTCTTTTTTTTTTTAAATAAATGAGTGTGACAAGCACTGCAGCAGCAGAGGGTTTCTTTTTTGATGGCAAGTGCATTATTGGAGAGGTTTGCAGTGTGTAAAAAGATGGATGAGGTAGAGGAAGAAAAGACCTCCTAAGACATTGTGCTCCAGGTACTTAAGCAATCGTTACAGACACTGTGCACGAAGGCGTGTTTTGCGATTATGGTTTGGACCTACAACCGAGTCTGTTGTGGATGCATTTTCCATGCTGACTGTATACACTACCCACAAGTGAATGACCGTCCTTGACAAATCTAACAGCTGCTGGGAAAAAAAAAAAGGAAATCACAATACGAGTCTTGTTTAAGTTGTGTCCATTTTTGTAACCTTACTGGGAGGGAGCAAGAACGCACAACCTTGCCTTTCTATTTTTCTGCCATTACCCAAGATGTTCCTCTATTAAAAGAAATCAATATGTTATTACAAGAAAATGACATTGAAGACACTGCATAAGCTCAATCATGGCATCTTTGATGGATAGCCATGAGCACAGCTGCGTCAAATCATTTGCAGTCACCAGAATAGTATTTTGAGTTGGCTTGTTATGATTAACATTTTGTTCACTGTCAGGTCTCTCTCCAGTCCTCCAAAAATTTTTTCCCATCATTCCTTTATGACTTTCTTCCCCTACACTGACTTCAGAGGTATACACATCATCTCCCCAAAGGACGTATTGTGTTGATTGGATCTCAAGCATCCACCCTTTCCTTACTCATTCTCTGGCATGCATCTACACTTGCATTCATCTAATTTCATTCCTGCTGACTAGTTCTGTGTAAATCTTCATTAGTTACTGGGAAAAAAACAACTTTAGGAAAAAAAAAAACAAGACTCCCATTTTGTGACCTGTACTGCATCTTCCTCATTTACTTTCACCCAAAGCTATCGCCACTCGTGGAAAGAAATACAGCAAACTAGTCCCTATTATCCAAGCTATAAACTCATGATGAAATTACCTTAAATTGCTTGGTAGTTTTTTCTGCCCTTTGCAATGCTGACATATTACATATTCAAGTTTGCATAGGATGTTTAACTGCATAAAATCTAAATAAACACACAATTTATGACCACGACAAATATGGAGGCTATGTAAAAAAAACACAAAACTGAAAAAAGTACAGTTGATAAAAACAAATCCGAGAGGCAAAATAATTCACTGTTAATGCTCCTGACTTAATGCTCGTTAGTGTATAAAATATTCCCCTCCTGTTTAAACAGCTATTAACAATTTAAATAACCCTGGCCCAGAGGCCTTGCTCTGACTCTCTTGTTAAAGATCTCCGTCCCCCAAAGGTCCATTTAACAAGCCCATTATTCCATTACATTGCATTTACATCAGCACCAGAGAGCCTTAATTTAACTTGCTCCTGTAATGTAACTGTAGAAAATAATTAGTATAGAAAAGTTGAAGGCACAAATTAGATTGAGGGGAAAATAATGTCTGTGTTACGATTTTTTTCTCTCCCTTAAATACACGGAAAGACTATTGACATAGCAGAGCCCTGCTGTATTTTATCACAACCTTTTGTTAAGAATTACATGGCAGTGGGGGGGGGGAGGCTATTTTACTGGGTAATTAGCTTTACTAGAGTATGAGGTGCAATGTAATGTAATCTATAAAGCTTGAACAAGCCGAACATAGCTGGAGCAGGATATTTTGTCAGCTCCAAATGTATTAAAAAAACCTCAACCAACCCGCATATATTGTTTCCACTACACTTTACCACCAAGAAACAACACCATTACAGCACCATGAAAAACAACTCTGAAAGGACTGCAATTGGAAACACGTCATTCTATACAATTATCTATTATAAAAAAGCAATGCTTTTAGAATGGTGTGGTTAAATTATTATAGATAAAGATTAATATATTCACATAAGAAGGGACTGAGTACTGGATAGGCACATTTATTTATAGCATATATGTATATATTAGGCAACCATTCGCAAGTTCACAGGCACAATTACTGTCAGCTTTATGAAACGTGCAGGTTTGTCTGCAACAAAACAAATGACAAAGATCAAATGAAGAAAATGAAATAATAAGTGTCCAAGGAGGAAGCCAGGGAAGTCAACACTGATAAGTAAAGAAAGACTCATAGATTATAAGCAAAGAAGTAAATGCCCATAGTCTCCAGCATCAGTGGGATAGTACCAACTGTAAGTGATGGCATCCAGTAAGGATGGAAGACAGTTTTAATTACTGACATCATTAGAGAATCCCTTTTAGAATATGTTTATAAATATATTTTAAAAAATTTCTGTTAGCATTTTGTTCTTTACTTGTAATTTAATACCTTGTTTTATATATTTAGCTGTAACTATGAGCATTTTTGTCTTGTAGCGTTTATCATTTTAATATTAGTAGTAATAGTAATAATATTCAGTTTAAATTTGTGTGTTCAGACTGGCTGAGACACTGAATTTTTGTAGCGTGTGAGCACCTTGCCTAAAGTCATATGCAATATTAAAACTCTATATCTCTGAATGTTGGAAAGTTGGACCGATAACCAATTAAGCATTTTGATGACATCTTAGGCTTTAGGGAATTAGGTCAAACATTTTTGGCATTTCACAACAAACCGAAATAAAGAAGAATTGTCAGTTACTTGATGACAACAGAAAAGGTCTGCTTTACTTTCTCTCACCATCTTGTGTTATGAAGAAAAAAAACATATGTCTGTGTAAATAAAAATCATAACCTGCTCTTATCTGCACACATTGCTTAGGACAACACGGCTCAAACAACTAACAATTTGGATAAAGTCCAAACCTCTATAGCCTTCAACTTTTTACTCCAGTCCATGGACACATTTAATTGGAGCCATCATCTATTTCACACAATGTGCTTCATAGCGTATACACTGTGTGAGGGCCCCCGTCTCTTTTTCGGTGGTGCATTTTTTTATTTTTTTATTTATTTTTTGCTTGCTCTCCTTCTCCCCTGAGCCAAAAGGGGACAAGACCTGACAGTGGTGTGCTCTGAGGCTCAGCACAGCTCCTTTTCATTAAGCAGTTGAGACCACTTTTTGAAGGTTACCACACACACTTATATCCAGACACAATCCATACACTCCAACAAACCCATGGAAACCTATGGGAGGGCTGAGGGGGAAGTAAGGAGGGGCCTAAAAAAATGTAAGACCATGCATTTTCTCTCTCTCAAACTCCATCAGTCACACAAACACACTTTCACACACACAGTGCGGCAGTCAACTTGTATGCCTGTGACTCCCAGGTGAATAAAGTTACCTGTCTTTGTACACTTTCAGAGGAGCTTTTTTTAAGGACTTTTCAAGTCTACAGCTGCCGGGTGACACACTTTCATCACCCCCATCAAAGTTGTACCCACAATGGGATGTATTTGTAATGCTGAGCCCACAGGCCATGAGGCTAGCGCCTTCGCACTGAGCGATAGCTCAAAATAAAGAGGTGCCAACTGCTAGGTCACAGGAGGGGCATGTAGCATCTGGGGGCTCAGTGATGTTATGACAGATTACTTATAATAATAATAAACTCTACCGAATGTTAATGAGGAACTTTCTTTATCGCAATGAGAGCAATTTATGATTTAACAAGAGTCAAAGACAGCTGTGGTGGTTCATTAGAAGAAGGAGGTCATCTAAG